TCTATATACATAATTTTAGGTCAAAGTACGATATTATACATTGTTATTATTATTGGGTATTTGATGATTGTGAATTTTGATTTAGGGTTTGGCTCAGACTGATGGTAAGTGGGAACATGGCACATGTTGCAGAATTAATGGCTGCAAACTTGATGGTGAATAGCATTTGTGGAGAAGGTATATATATATATATATATATATATATTAGATATGTGGCCTAACTTAAATATTTGGAAATCGACTTGTTTGATCATCCTGGCCAATAGTTAATTAATTAGTTTGGATGGTTAAAAAATATGTTAAAATTGAAAGATTGAACAAAGGAAATATCTATGGGTAGTTGTGGATCCTGTAAGTGGCATAGTTTAAGTGGTTGAATACCATCACAAATGCTATGCCATGCCATCCATATTATTTCTCTTGTTTAATTATTATTATCATGCAATTAGGTTTAAGATAAGAGGAGCCCATTTTGATTTGATTTAAATGGTCCTCATTAAAAAAATTAGTTCTAATTAAATGTATCATTAATTTTCTTCATACTAAAAAAAATACATAACAATTATTATCACATAATAATAATAATATTATTATTATTATTATTTTGTAGCAAATAATTTTATAATACTAACCGAAGCCTTTTTACAGCAAGGAAAAAGAAAGGTGAGAGAAAGCCCATGTTGGCATAGATGAGCGGCTGGCCAGCTGTTATGTCACATAACTAACTAACTAGTGCTAAAGCTGCTGGACTGTAGTGTATATGTATATGTATATGTATATGTTTCTGCGTGTGTATGTGTATGTTTTGAGAATCTATGGGCTATTCGTGGGTTATTGATGGAGGGACCATGTATTGTACTATGGTCCAATTAATACTTGAATTCCCAGCCGAAATTTCATCCAAAAAGTGGGGTTTCCACGTTGAAATCAACAACTGGTAAGTAGCAGAGATTTGGATTTGGATTTGGATTGGACCATCGATAGAATAGCCTCTAGCCTACCATTATCAATTTTAACTGCCAAATAAAAAAAGCCAATAAGTGCTTTTTCTAAAAAAAGAAGAAAAAGCCTACAAGTGCTTTTAAACAATGCATTGCGGCTCATTTTCAGCTTATTAGGCCCCGGACGGCGGACGCCTACCTACACCAAAGCTGCTGCTTCTCATGTAATTATGTTATGCCCTGCAACGCCCCTAACCATTTCAAAACTTAAATGATTATAGCGTAACAATTCCAAAAAAAATTAAAAATTAAAAATTGAAAAGCCCATCATGATGGGCTCGATTACATGCTTTTGATGGATTTAGGCTCAGCCGAAAGTTCTGTCCTTTTTACTCTGCGGGCCCTTGTCGTTTGCCCCAGTTTTACTATTATCTATATATATATATATTATATGAAGCATAAGTTTTTCAATAAATTCATGTTAAATCTGTAATGATTTTAAAAATAATACTCAACTGTGCATAATAAACATTATTATAAATTAATAAAAATCAACTTAGAAACTGAATGATGATTAAACCAAAAGGAAAACTAATGCTGAAAAGAAAAAGATGGATGGATGGATGGATGTCTGTTGAAATTTGGTTTCCCATTGCGAGTCAAAACAATCCAAAATCCAGAGAGGAATATCATCAAAAAATTCCTATCCTACATGTATCATCATCCTCGTTTCTCAACTCCACCACAAAACCATCAACATGGAATTGATGTTCATGTCTGTTTATGAACATATCAGAGTGCACAAATCCTCTATCCTCGCTTGGGAAATGTTGGTAAAAGGAAAAATATTGAACTTGCCATTATCCATGCAGGTAAGTGTCAACTGCCTACTGCTCACCATTGTCTGCACCATATACATATATATATATATATCATACATCGAAGTTGCCATTAACACACAAATTTCAATCTGGGTTTCTTTTCCAAGTTACAAAAATTGAAGAGGAACGATCAAATTTATACCTCACAAGAACTTGTTATGTCATTGCAGCTCCACCTCTTGGAAGGAACACAGTTGATATACTCACACCAATTGCAGTACTGGTTAATGTTGATACCTTCAAGTACGCCAACGATGCATCCCGCAACTCTGTGAATGACAGCATGTTACTAGCTAGAGACTAGACGAAGAGAATGAATAATGGCAGCAAGAGAAAAAAAAAAAAAAAAAAAAAAAAAATTGGAGGAGAAAGGTAAAACTCACAGAATACCAAACAGAAAAAGAGAGACAATCCTCAGGACAGGTCTATCCAGCCTCTCCTTCAACTTGATGGAGCTTTTTATGTTGTATTCAAAGAAACCTGCTTTATGTTCAGACACTTGCGTTAGCTGAGGAGTGAATAGCAGAACAAATCCCAGAAGAAATCCTGACATGAAACCTCCAATGTTTGAGAAGATGTCTACGTATGGCAACAAACCCAGGAGCAAATTAAAGAGGGAGATCAAGAAAATTAACACCAGAGTCGCAAGCTGCAATTAAGAAATGAATAAAACCTGTAATTCAACAATGGGAAAAAGAGAGGTTTGAATAAAAGAAAAAAAGAAGGTGAGGAACCTTATTGCTGTAAAGTTCCCAGTTCCGAAGAAGCCCAGAAAGCATAGCTCCGATTAATCCAAATAAACCACCAGATGAACAAACTGCAGGACTATTTTGAACAAAGAGTGCAGCAAACAAGCTACCCGTAAAAGCAGAGAGTACATAAATCATCCCAATCCTCACTGCACAAGCGAAGAGAAGAGCAAGAATGTAAATAGACCAATCAAGACTTAGAGGTTTAATATAAATTATTAAGAAGTTTAATGATAATATGGTGAGAGTTATAGAGTTACTCGGCCCAAATTCTTGCTCCATGTAAATTCCAACGAGAATTATACTACTGAGGTTGATTAGAAGGTGAAGGGCTCCAGCATGCAACCATGGACTCGTGAAAAGACGATAGCTGAGCTGATTCTTGACCAAAAATTTCTGCCGAAGAGCTCCCATTTCATCTAACCTGAAGGATTTTTTTACCCCTTTTCTCGTCATTTCTCATGAAACAAACAGAAATTCTCAGATAACATAAAAGAAACAGTATCAAGGTATCTTTGGACGTTCAATTACAACTAGATATGCATATAAGTTAATCAACAAGCCAATCTACAGAGTAAAATCCGATCAAGATTCACGCAAGAATTAGTGTGGTAAAGCAAAAATTAAGAAAGAGAGGTTGATAAAAGAGGTTAGGAAACTCACGTAGAAGCGGCCGGACCGAGCAGGGGGTTTTCGGAGAGAGGCTGAAACGATAACCTGCCGAGCAATTTGACGGAGCAATCGCCATGGGAGTTGGTCCAGCAGTCGTTGATCACCATAGTGGCTGCAAAGACGACGATCTGGAGGAGTACGAAAAGGGAAACGACCCAAGTATCGCGGGCGATCCGCCGGGAACGGGATTTAAAGAAGGACAACCTCTGAGGTTCTTGCTCGAAATTCTCGACGGTATCGAAGAAAAACGGAGACTTTTGTGGCTTGACGTCGATTTGGGTGTGGGGTTTTAAAGCGGTAGCCATGGAATTCTGCAAGAACACGAACGAGAGTGAAATGGCAGGTTTAGGGTTGAGAGAGAGAGAGAGAGAGGAAAGACTACACCAATTACTGTAAGCAGTCTGCTCGCTCTGGGCTACTGACCTGAGTCAGTTGCAGGATGAACGGGGATGGTGATTTTTTTTTTTTTGTGTGTGTGAGCAAGAGACGGTTAGAATTGGCGGGAAGTCGTTTAACTGTTGGGACTGCAAAGGGTGCTTACTTCAAAAAAGAAAAGGAAAAGTAACGGTTTGGATAATTTCTTATTCCATATTAATTAATAGGAAATTATTAAAACACATAGAATAATCTCCCAATTATTATTATTATTTTTTTAATTTTAAAAAACTAAAGATAAAAATATATTTGAATAATTTTTATTTAAATACATTAGAATTATTATATTTTTGTTTTTTTCACTCTTTTTTTTTAAATAAATATTTAAGAATTAAATTATAACGAAAAATATTTTAAAAAAATTATAGCATCTATCAAACTCAAAAAATTAAATTGAATACTTACCATTTCAAAAAATTAAATTGAATACTTTATTACAATTAAAATTTTATTCAAATACTTAATTATTTTTATTAGATATTTTTTGAATTAAAAGGCAATAGATATATTAATTAAAAAAAGAGTGAATAACATTTGAAAGAAATGTTTGATGCCCATTTTGCTAAATTGTGGGTAAGCTTGTTAGTTTCTCTAGGGGCCCTGAAAATAAAACAAGAACTGAAAGACCTTATTAATTGATATGCTTCAAAAATTAGTTTTTAAGAGTTTAGTATGAGATGTACATGGAACAAATAAAGGGATACATAACTTATTAAGAATCATTCATTATCAATATTTTAATAAAATTGTAGAATTTACTAAAATACATAAGAAATTAGTTAAACAATTCTATAAAATTGTGGAAAAGGTTACCTTCCTCATTTTTTAGAAAGTTGAAGGTGTTTTTCTTGCACCTTTGTATTGTTGTTGCATGTTTTTGGATTGACGAGTAAACGTTGGTGATGGGAATATATGATTTCAAGATATTTTAAGATTTATACTTTAAATTCTTAATCCAACATTCAAGAAACAAATTATAGAGTGAAAAATCTACCATTAACCAGGGTTCATATGGTTCATATATTAAAATGAAAGGAGATGATGTAAAGTTTAACTCGTTCACAATCCCTTTCATCATGACTTAGTATTCCATAGCGGTAGCACAATTTTGGTAGTGATTCATATTTAAATTGGACTAATACTCTATATTTTAAGGTTTTTGACAAGAAAAAAATCAACGAAAAAAGGCTTAATAATATTGATTTATATTTTAACTTTGAATAATTTATCTAACAACTATTTTAACATGTACAATCTATATCCACAAGAAATCATATTTCACCAACTATGAGTTTAGTATAAATTTTGTAAATAAACAAACGAAAAATCTTTCGATTTTAATATAAAGTACAGTAGTAGTAAAATATAATTCTTTAATACATAGATTATAATTGCACTCTTTTGATGTAACAAAGACCCTCTTTATATTTTAGTAATACTTATTGAGAATTTTTATTTTGTCACCTTCATGCTTAAAGGTGCGTATAAATATTTTTTATCTACTGATTGAGAGAATACTCTACAGTTAGTTTTCTAAATAGTAGATAAAATTTGTTGAATAACTTTCAAAAACAAAGTTTTAATAGAGATGATCTTACCAATTAGAGATAATATCTAGCTTTTGTAACTTTTTAGATCATTAGTTATTCGAATGAACTCATATGTGTTTGATATTGCTATTATAAGTAATTAATGAATCTATTATTATGTTGGAGTTGAAAATTCTTTCATATTTATCTTTCATGCATACTGTTTTAGAGAAATTAAATGTTATTGCTTCTGAAGTTTTATTTCTTAATAATTACAGATTTGTAATAAGAAATTGTTCTATAAAGAAATAAATAAATGAATGTTCAATGTGGTAGATATTGTAAATATTGTGGTGACAGAGTGTAATATGCTTGGGATGATAGTAAAAATATAAAAGTTTTTGTTACGAAGAGGTTTGAAGAACTCCAAAGAGAAGACTAATTTTTTTTCTTAGATATTTATTTAAATTAATTTGGAGCATCTTAGTATTTTAAAGATATTTCTTTTCCTTAAACCGGGAATTATCAGGTAAGTGACTGGTTAGGTAACCCACTGCACCTTCACCTGCCTAATTGGCGGGAATTTTCAGCTATTAAACCCCCTGCTAACTGTTTTGTTGATTATTGTCTATTTATGTTGGGCAAATCTCGTTATAAATTATCATGGTCAGGAGCGCAGATCAGCTCACCCGTGAAACTCAATTTCTTGATCTCTCTCTCTCTCACTCTCTCTCTCTTTCACTTCAACTCGCTTCAAGACTTGACATCGCTCGCCGAGTTTGACGAAACTCGCTCGCGCGCCTCGACTCAGTTTTCTTTATCTTTAAGGGTAAGTTGTTTAAGTTTCCCCGGCAGTCTCTGCTATGTGTTCTATGTCTCACGTGACGAAGCTATCTGTACATTGATTGCTCTTGTTTTGCAATTAGGGTTTAGCTTGCTGCAAAATTCGATTTCAATCGAGGTTGAAACATTATCCTGGATTTGTTTCTTACTAACTAGGCCGCGGAAATGGATGTGACGAATGGATTAGAGACCCCGGTGGAAACACTCTATGGAGAAATCGAATCGTTTTTCCAGTCAGCTCCTCCTTTGAAGGACAGCGATAATATCAACCAGAAATTGGACCAATTCCTTGAGCTGAATTCTTCATCAGCAGGCAAGTTCACATAAAGTTGATACATCAGGCAAATTCACATGTATATATTCATTTATATTTGAGCAGAACGAATATGATATTGAAGGAGTTCCAATTGCAGCTGACGGAGGATCAAGGAGGATTGTATGTGTCACCGCTGGTGGTACGACAGTCCCTTTGGAGCAAAGATGTGTTCGTTACATTGATAATTTCAGCTCAGGACACAGAGGAGCAACAGCCACCGAGTATGTTGCTATGCACATATTTGTTACGAGGAGCTTCATTTCTCATGAATTTTTTACTCATTTGATTAGATAATAGTTGATTGATTTCAATTTCTTTGAAGGTACTTTGTCAAGGCTGGATATGCCGTTATATTTTTATACCGGAGGTGAATGTTCATGCTTCTTCCGAGTAGACACTTTCACTTAGGTGCTGCTATGTTGTCTATTATGTGTTCTTTTTTTGGCAGGGGGAGCTACCAGCCATATTGTAGCTGCCTTCCAGATGATCCGTTCCTTGAATGTTTCAAGCTCACAGATGAATCAAATGTTCAAGGTCTGTGGTTTCTATTATCGTAATTCAATCCCTCGGGATTGTTCTGATGAGTTATGTTGCTTATGCGAGCCTGATCCAGGTCATGTTTAGTCACCGTAGCTTCTTTTTCAGACATTTCTTTTCTGGTAGTTATAGTTTCAAAGCTTGCCTGGTATTCACATCTAAGAAATTCTTAGTTTTCAAGTTTATATGGAGTGGGGTATAAGTGGAAAAATTCCCTGAGCTTTGTTACAACGGTTGTTTAATTGGAATTATTTCTCTTGTTGTGCTGCTGCAAGTGTACATATTTAATCTGTAAAATCTCAGATTCAAGTTCACTTGGAAGCCTTTCAGTAGTTGCCTTTTCTTTGGTTAAGTGCTCTTTAATCTTTCAGTGCGTGAAGCATATTCTGAAGCAGTGAAGAGAGCCATCAGGGATCACCATGCTGTATGAACCATCAGTTTCTTCTTGTGTTTTTTGTGTGCTATTTTTTTTGCTTTGCATGTTGCTTTTGTTCTAGTGGCTCATATACAATGCCAGAAATTTAAGCCAATGCAAACCAACCACTTTGGTGCTTTCTTATCTTACAGGCGGTAGCTGAAGGTTTCCTTTTAAAGCTTCCCTTTACAACCATATTTGAATATCTTCAGGTTACCTTCAATAACTTTTGCTTAAGTCCTAAGGCTTCAACTGCCAGAATGGCAGTCATTTTCTTTATTTTTGCATCCATCTATTTTTTTCTTTCTATCTTGATAAATCGAGAATAGACAATAATTTTTTTTTTTCCATTCTCTTTGGCATGCTTCTTACCAATTTCATAAGGCTTCAACAGCTAGAATGGCACTCACCTTCTTTCTTTATTTTTGCATCCATCTATTTTGTTGCATCTGTCTTGATAACTCAACAATGAACAATAATTTTTCTTTTTCCATATTCTTTGGCATGCTTCAGACTATTTTCATAGCTGAGCTATCTTTTGGATTAGTACTTTGACAATAAAGTCCAGAGATGCAATCTAGAATAGCATGAACAGCGAAAAATGATAGTTTCTGTATCATATGTAAGTCTAAAGGATCTTTACCCTACATTCTATAGTATCTTGTTAAAACATTTGAAATTTTTGGGTGGTCTAGAGTTTTCCTGATTAATTGAGTGCAAAGTGCAACAGTCGTCTGATATCATGAGTTCAATTTAACATGAATCAGACTGAGTTTTTGTTACTTAGACCACCCAATTAATTCACTCTCCTTTTGGGTATCAATTGTATTCGGAATCTAAGTTGCCCAAACATGGGCCTTGCTGGTTGCTGTGGCTATTCAATGAAATTTATTAAATCAAAAGGTTGCCAAGTTATCTTAGTCCACCCATTTTGATGCATATCTTTTTGTTGGTTATACATCTTATATGTTACCTTGGTGATCCTACTTCTGCTCGCTTGCACTTGCATTTTGGAGATTATACTTCAATTTGTTGTAATTTTACCATAAAATTTTCATTTATGCTTGTCTTCATAGCTTGATTGATGCTTTATTGTAATAGCCTAAAAAGACTAATACATAATCATGCACTCTGGTACCCCAAGCTGACCTTTTCCTCCTCGCTTATTATTATGATTTTTTGGATAAAGACCTTACCCTCCTTATTTTGTGGTTCTGGTTTCTCTAATTTTCATATGGGTATTGTTCTTGGATATATTGAGAGTTTGTCTTGTATTACAAGCAGATGTTACGGATGATTGCAACTGCATTGAAGAGTTTTGGGCCACGGGCCGTGTTCTTTCTTGCAGCTGCTGTTTCTGATTTTTATGTTCCATGGAAAGGCATGGTAATGGTTCAATAAACTGGAAACATTTTCCAATTCTCTCGCCCATATGCTTAGGTTGCCTTAACTCATTACTCTTGTTTTTTATTTCTTGAGAATAAGAGATTAAAATACGTCACCATGATCCACTACTTTTAGTAATCTTTTTTTATTGTGCATTATATGCACATGTTTGTCATATTGTTGCCAATAATAAGAGAAAATCATGAAGGTGGGCATTTTATACCTTCCATGATCCACTATTTGTAATCTTTCTTTTATTGTGCATTATATGTGCATGTTTGTCATATTGTTGTCAATAATTAGAGCAAATCACTAAGGTGGGCATTTTATACCCTAAGAAGGTAAGAAATAATTTGGCAAGTTGTTACCATGTCTTAAATTGGTGGATTGAGTTCTTGTTCTCGGATTTATCCCATTGTATAAGTGGGAAACATTATGTGGTCTGTTCTCAAATAACGAGAATCAAGATTATGTTTGGCTAGCTGTTGTTCCTGAAACGAGTAATTTATCACACTCTATATTTGATCTCATGCTTCCTTATCTGAAGACTTCAGCAATAAATGAATGAGAACAGGTGAGATTAAATGGAATATTTGTTAATTTCTTAAGGTGCCGAATTGTGTTCTGAGGGAAATCACATTAACATAATGAAGCTGTGTTCTCTACTTGAGAGATTTTCTCTTAAGGAAACACAATAAGAGATTTGATGCCAAATTTATAATTCATTTAAATAATTATCTGCCTATTTGTTGCTTGCTAAAAGGTCTATTAACTGCACAGGCAGAGCATAAGATTCAGTCAGGATCTGGCCCCTTGGACATGCGACTTGTCCAAGTCCCAAAGATGCTTTCAGTACTGAGAAAAGAATGGGCTCCCATGGCTTTTTGCATATCATTCAAGGTTAGGCCTATGATCCATTTCTTAATTTTGTCCAGAGATTGTGACAGTTTGGACTTGTACAGAAAAAGTTTCCAAATTATGTGTGCTAAGATGACAACAGTCAAATCCACAAATAATTCCACAGTATGGCATGATTATAAGGAATTTTGCATCATTGTGGGACTTCTGAACAATTGGGAGATATTCTCTTAAGAAAAGACTTATTTCACAGTTTTCATATCCATGCTCTGACTTGGTTTATATTTGAACGTGGGAACGACATGTTGAGACTAATTTGAGGTTGTATAGTCTGTCATTATGATTTTTGTCTTGGGAGAAAGCCAAATACATTTATTAGTTATTTGGTAGGGCGTGCAAACAGGGTGCTTATCAATTGCTTTCCTTTTTCCTGAATGGCTCAACAGCTTGAGACCGATTCAAAGATTCTTCTAGAGAAGGCTGGTATGGCTCTCCGGAAATATAAAATGCATGTCGTTGTGGCAAATGAGCTCTCAACCCGAAAAGAGGAGGTTGTAGTTGTCACGGCTGATGAGAAAATTTTAGTTCAGCGAGACAAATTTCAGGCTGGTTCTGATGTAGAAAAACCCCTTGTTGAACTTCTGGTGGAAAGACATTCCGGTTACATCAAAGATTTTCATACATGATCTCTTATGGAACAATGTGAAGGCAGGTGACACATGCAATGCCACAAAAAATCACAAATCTCAGGAGATGGCAACGTTTTTTAAGATCTTTCTTTTAAACCTAGCATTACTTAGAGTGCTTTCATTATTAGCCCAGTTTTTCTTTCTTTCCTGTTGTCATGATATGTTGATTATTTAACAACTGATAAATATTTATTAAGATCATTGCAGGAATAATACATATTGTCATTAAGATAATTGCAGGGTTTTAGAGCAACAAGAGAATCTTCATGTTTTTAAGCTAAATCTAACAAAGAAAAGAGATTTTAAAACGATATTTGTCTCATTGGCACCATTTTAGTATCATCTTGGTTTTGTTTTTAATTTTTCGACCCTGGTTTTAAAGAATATGTCATGAAACCCTACGTGACACCTTTTACCATTTTGACACTGTTGTAAAAGAATAAACATTTATTTAATATCATTTCTGATCTTTCTTACCTGAATCCTGATATGTTTACAGGATGCTCCTGCAACTACCACTGTTCATTTATTGGGTATCATTTTCTCTCGCCTTTTTGCTCATTGTTACTGAGAGGTATGCAGGTCTGATATTTATGCTTCCGCAAAGATGCTTCTTTTTCCTCTGTTTACTGGAACCCAGTGACAAATCTCCTACCTTTAGAGTGGGAAGTGCGAAATGGTTATACAAGGAAAGTCTTGAGTAACAACAAACACTTACAATGTTAGAAGTGAAGTGGGATAATTTGGGGACTTTAACTGGGATTGAATTGATGAGAAATAAGGGAAATCAGTTGTATGAATGTGTCAGCCGTATAATAAAAGAAACTTAATGATGTAACATGTAGGGAAAACATTTTCTCAATATATAATTTTATGTATGAATCTTCTCGGGTTGAAGAAACAGCTCAAAAACCGAAGGTCATCCATCCCTCTCTTTCAAAATACTCTACATGGCTTTTACTTCAAATTAAGTTCGAATTAGCAGATGAAATTTTTATTGTAAAGTCAACAATTTGGATTTGGGTTTTATTTTTCATCGTTATTAAAAAGAATTTGGGTCTTAAAAATCATCAGTAATAGTTACTGAAATATCATCATTCTTTACCCTGCCTTCTCCTTGGAAGGAGAATATACAGTGAAAAAAAAGAAGATTCTAAAAATTGAACACAGCATTGAATTCTATATGAACATTTCTCATTCCTCTTGTAATTTGGGAAGAATCATGTACACATGGATTTTTCAACAATATGCTACGTAACTGGGAGACATCCCAAAACTGTAAGCTATCCCTCCAATAGAAAGCCAAAAACTTTACATAACTTCCTATTAGATTTCTTCATCATCCGTGTCAAGCTCAAGCCCTTCTGCAGCTAAAAGCTGACCAATGACCTTTCTCTTTTCTTCTTCTGCCTTTTTACGCATCAAATCCCGTTTCTTCAACACAAGTGTGTGCCGCTTAAGAGTATTGTTGAAGTACTCCAAGGATGCCTTCTTCTCCTTTGCCAGAATTCTCCTCTCTTCATCAGGATCAATCTGCAATTCTACTAATTATGCTTCCTCCGAGAGTTCCAATATTTAGGTGGCCAAAACAAAAAAGATTTACATTGTTCAAAACTTTGCTTCCATTAACAGCAAAGCAATAACAGCGTGTGTGGTATTAAAGGGAAAATCTCTAAATCTTTGCTTCCATTAAGAGCAAAGAAGTAACAGCACATGTGATACTAAAGGGAAAACTTTTAAGTCTATGTTTGAACGAAAAGAATTCTACAAGAAAAATTAAGTTTTAAATTCATTTGCAAATCAACATTATCGATCAATCTTAAATATACAAATCTGAAATTGCAAATAAATTTTACACTTTCCTTTTTAATTGTTGTACCAAACATATCATAAAGCAAACATCAGAAATTATGGTTCTTAGAGGTTTCTTTGCTACTTCTGTCTTCTAGTAAAAACAGTTGGTATAGTGAAGCCTTATAAGATGAAACCCATATTCTAGTTCTAAACTAAGCACTGATACTTCTATCAGATTTTGTTTATTTGCACTTATAAACTCTTCCAACTTTCTTTATAGATTGAATAACCAACTATTATAAGCAAAAATATAAACTCGAGTTAACTATTCATCAATAAATATGGAAATCAATAATAAAATATTTTTAAAATGTTTAATACCTTTGTACGTGACAGGCGGCGTACTCGAAGGTTTAACTCACGCTGCTGCTGCTCAGCCCAAGCTGCAATAGCCATATCACCGCGCTGATCAAAAGCTTTTCGCTTTTTCATAAGCCATTCCATCCATGCTTGTGATGCCTTGAAACAATATCAAATATCATTATTCTCAAGATCTAACTAAGAACAGAAGGCAAGAAAGTAAAGCTGCTTGTATCACTGCAAGAATGTTTAGCTATCAACAGGAGATTCTAACCAACATGCTTCGTAAAAATTGCACATCAAGCCTGTGTTGTAGGAAAAAGAATTCATATAGAGGCAATTGTTCATTCTAAACCCCACCCTCCACCCGACCATCTACGTGCTGCGTTTTTATTAGTGTTCATAATGACATCTTTTTCAGCTGATGAGGGATCGGATGGAATATTCTTTTGTTTGGAACTTGAAGATTATAAACAGGGACTATTGCGATCCAATAGGCACTTTTACTTGCTACTTCATCAGTCTTGATGACAAGTAATAAGTGTCCCAGCTGTATCAAACTATCAATCTTTAAGCTTGCAAAATAGTAACTATTCTCATCACTATATCTCCTGTACTTTTTTCATTGTGGATTAAGTTGCCCTTGCCCTACACTTTTATCAGTCTCAAACTAGGGTATATTAAGTTGATGCATTATCTGCTTTTAAAACTTAAAGTATAAAGGCAACTTAATCTGGATTTCTTTTTTTCTTTTTTGGTCTAAAAACAATTCTTCTTTTCAGTTACCAGATCACTTGAGGAATCAATTCTAGATGATATTATCAATCTCAGTTTTAAAACTAAGTGGATCAAGTCAATCATTCTCATTAGTTGTATCATTAATGTCCTGGTAAGAAATTCTTGGGTTTTGTATTTCAAGATTTTTACAAGTTGTTAAAAATTGCATATTGTTGTTCGGATTGCAAACTGCAGTCTAGTATCTAAGAGGGCACTTCCTGATTTCAATTAGCTGTTAGTGGTCCCTCATGCTTCTCTTTGTAAAAATTACATCCTGAAGTCTGACAAGTCTTGTGCATCTTTTTTTGATATGCCTTAATTTCTAACTAGCCAGTTCTGTAACTATTACTAGTTAACTATAATTTATGAAAACGAATGTATAAACTTAATTATTGCCAACTGTGGCTTAGGGAAAAATTAACACATACATATATATATATATATATATATATATGCAAAGACAGTTTCATATGCCTCAGTCCCTAGATAACTCATTATCAGACAATTAGTAATTGACATTTAAATTGTAAGTCTTACCTTCATTGGGTTTACTCGGTTATCCAGATCATACTGCCTTCGCTTCTCCTCATCAATGAGCAACTCATAAGCAGCTTGAATCTTAATGAATCTTGCTTCAGCTGTCTCACCTTCCTCAAGTGTCCCCCTACCATCATACACTTGAAAAGGAGAAAATGACAGGGTCAGTTCAGTCTAAAGCAAAAACCATGGCACATCAAAAGAATAAAGCAACTAAGCTATCTTCAGATTTGGACGCAAGAACTATCCGTGTCACTTAGCTAAAGCCAGGGCTTTCTGTGGCACAATAAAGTGACTGATTTCCCACAACATGAAATAACTGAGAGTCAAGCATTCAACATAAGCAGAGTGAAATGCTTGATGCAGTCACAGATGCAAAATATTACAATTGGTAGCTTCGGTTGGAGAGTCAAAAACCTCGCAGGAAGTACAACATATTACAATATTCAAATTCTTACAGAGTACAACATATTACAACATTCAGGTGATGCATTTGGTGGGGCCTTATAATTTCCCTCCTTTACTCTATATTCTTCCTTCTACTTCTCCCATTTCCTTTTCTCTCTAAATTGAATTTCTCATCTCATAATCTATGGAACCCTGGTTTTTCCTACCATCTTCCACTCCCAAAATCCCAGAAGATACATAGAGAACAGAGAGAGAACCCTGCAAGTCTATCCCAATTAATTCTCTTCCCCTCTCGGTTAGATTTCTCTTAGTTTGTCTCACTTTCCTCTACATTACCGGAGCCTAAAATTCCTATCCTTTTAGCTTAAGTCAAGCACAAAAGTTTGCGGTTAAAGTCCTCAAATCTGTGCTCCATCAAATTTTATAGCACTGCAAACATTGTATGGAAATGGGTGGAACAGATTAAAATTAACTCTGACCCGGTCATGGTAAAGAAACAAGTTGTGAGACCAGAACAACAACTTAACCTCTCTTCAGAAGGTTTACAAATGGGGGTTTCAGTTGTAATGCATCCATCATTTAATGCCCCCATCCCGGTTTCACATTTAAAGCAACCTGATCTCCGACTTACCCCGAAATTCCACCTAACTTGATTTTTGTTAGACCACAGCAGACAAACACATATTTAACACTTTCATTTAATTAAACTATACTTTACATAAGCAGGATTATATATTAGATAAAACCAGTCATAAAACAACCAATAAAACCTATCTCTTGTAAGAAGTATGGAAGTGAGTGGAGAATATATTGCGGAATAGAAAATGTACCAAGCACAATATTCCAGTCAGTTTGATATCATATAGAAAGATTTCTTATCTAAATCATTGTTCAGCTCAATGAATGTGCATGTGTGTTTCAGATGAAATTTCTCCAGCTTAACAAATGTGCACGCGTTAATAAGCTAAAAATTTACATTAGGAAAAAGTTAAACAGACTAAAATAAGGGAAGATATACCATCTGGGTGATAGAACTTGGCCAAGCGTCTGTAGGCAACCTTAATCTGCTCTTCATCAGCATTTCTTTCTAATTCTGTCCAAAATGAAAATTGGAGGAAATTTATAACCGACATAGATTGAATCAACTGACTATAGACTGAACAATGAGAAAACATAGAAAAGAAGCAGCAGCCTTTCATGCAATTTTCTTGAGCGACACCTCATGTACTCTGAAAGAAAGTATCTCATAGCTATGGCAAACATGCGCGCAACAGATGAGCTTTGCACCAGATGGGTAACTAATTTACTTCATGGAGTATCCAATGACAGTGCCCGTAGAAGTCACATCTATAATTAACGTCATCTAAAATGTCTTGAAGGTAATCAAATATTATGCTTAAGCAGGCATTTCCTACTTGCCAAAATTCAAGTTCATCAAATTCAGAAACATTATTCTCTTTACTTATCAGCAACTAACAGTGCAATAGAAAAAGAATGTTAAAACTGTCATAATTTCCTTGTTCATGGCTCTGCAATTAATGAGAATAAAAAAATATTAAGAAAGATTCTCAACGAGAAATTTTGCTCGGCAATTTCTACACAATATCTTCACCTCAATATTTCTCGACAACTAAACAGAAAACTGAAAGGAGGAAACCAGCTAGAGTGACTATAAAAGGGAAAAAAAAAAGTCAGAGAGAGAGAGATGGTTACCTAGAGTCTCGTAGGGAGATTTCTGCTCAGTCCAATTAGATGCCCTCATCATGGTCCTCCTCTGATTCACTCGAAACCATAAACTCAACCCTTTAGAATCAAACGAAGGAGGTGAAAAAGAGGGGCACAACAATCGAGGCTGGTACCTAGGGTTGGGAAAGGAACCCGTAATTACCAAGCGAGTTTGGCTCCCGCTGCGGCACAAGAAGGAAGAGAAGAGCGCATGAGGGTGACAGATTGTTCTCAAACTGCTCATGCCTTTGAATTCCAGCCAAAAATATTAAAATTGACTAAAATTCCTTCTGCAGTGTGTCAGGAGAGCGAGATTGAGATTGAAAAAGAAGAATGGAAATGTTTATTTGATGATTAATGGGTATTTATATATGAAGGATTAATGCAAAGACGTGAAGAAAGCAAAGAGTGGAAGATTCTGAATCTCAATTTTGATTTTGTTTTTGGTGTTTCCTTCATTTTCCTGATTTCATTTCCCGGGAGATTTTGTGGACGGTTCGTTTTTGACAGTTGGAACAGCGATATTACCGCTTTACCCTTGACATAAAACGCAATTACCAGGCGACCCCCGAAACCCAAGGCCAAGGAGGGAATAGGCAATAAGCATAATAGCCATTTTCATTAGGAAATTAAAAGTTTGAATCGTAATTACGATTTTTAGTGAGTGTTGACTTTAATATATATACATGTATATATATATATATATATATTATTTTTAACAAAAGACGAAAATAAAAAATAATAAAAAATGAGATAACTATAGATATGCATGAAGGATTATATTATCTAAAATGCATTGACTTTATACTTTTGAATCTCTTTCTAGTTATAAGGCTTTCTCTCAAGTCAATACTAGCCAACAATTACCACTTAAAAATTGACCGGTAATCAAAGTCTTGGATTATTGAAAACCTCAATTTCATATGTTAAAAGTTTTATTCATTTGCTTAAATAATTTTGTGCTACTAAAATTAGATTGAGTAAAGAATCAATCATTCATGACTCTATTCTAAAAAGTATAGGAAGGTACGAGCTTTAGACAGAGAGAGAGAGAAAAAAAAGAAGAGAAAAGCAAAGAGATTTGGGAGAGAAAAAGAAAAGAGATTCACAAAAGATTAGAGAATTTGAGGGAGATGATGAAAATATGCTTCAAAATAATTCCTTCTGTGCTCACATCTACAAAATAGATGATTATGTAGAAGAAAATATGCATAAACAAAGTCCATAAATAAGTCAAGAGTTGAAAAATTGCAGAAAAAATCTCTAAATTTATTGAATTAAAGATAGAAGAGAAGGTGATGAATTAACTTAAAAAGAGTTTGAGAAGATTAAAAAACCCTCTCCTGCAATCAAGACACCTGCAACCCAATTCCCGGATGCATGCCAGGTAACCCTAACTTTTTGAACAACCAACCCTTAAAGATCTGAATTTCCTGCAGATGTTTTCATTTTTTTCTCTTTTCTGTTCCCCAACCATTCCAGTGTTTCCCTGCTCACTTTCTCTTGGTTGCACCTATCAAATTAAGACTGAACAGAACATACCGAACACTTGGGGGAACAAATACTTTTTTTTTTTTTCCACTATTTCTTAGAATTCTGAGAATCATATATTATCCACAAAGCTCAAAATGAAAGAAAAGGACTCTCAGGCACCACGTCCTGACTTCAGGTAAACTAGTTATCTTTACTACATGGGAGGCAGGAAGACACAGCTTGATTTACCTAAACTCTATCCTCGTACATGCAGCAGCATCGAAATGCATATTTACATCTTTCTTTTCGTTTATATTTAAGAAGCTGCTTCAAAAAATATATATATATATATATATTTTTATATAAGCAAAACTAAAATTTGATCTGATAAAATCTAAGAGGACGCACTATATTTGAAGCTGAGCTGCAACCACTACCACTGACTATAAGCCTAGATAAGTTTTCTCTAGGTGCTCTCTGTAGACTAGGCAGGTTCACGAGGACGAGCAGCCCAGAGTGAGCTCAGAGCACGCAGACGGTGAAAGTACTCCCCTAGAGCAAGCAAACCTCGAGCTGCTTGCCGAATAGTTAACACCCTTGACATGTGTTGAAGTGTTTGTTGCCGAAGATGATCAGCCTGTTTCAGAGAGCATTGAATGAAAATTCCCGTCCAAATAACCACCAAGAAACTTTTTTTAATCATGTACAAATGATCAGGAAAAGAAGTCTCAGAAGATTTTATGGAACAGATAAAGCTCCTCTCTTTGTTCAGGATATATTGGGACAGACACAGAAATTTAATAAAACTCATTTGCAAATTCACATACTTAAGACAACTAAAAGATAGTGAAAAGCTCTTTAAAATGATAAGCATTGATTTTGTATGAAATAGAATAGAATCTACATCTTCTAATTAAAACTAGCTTTTTATTTGTTATTTTAAAAAAGAAACAAATTAAAACTAGCCTTTTGGCTTTGTTATTAACATAGTTCTGAACGCCTACCAAATCGAAACCAAGTGCTCACTGGCCATCAGCCTTGTAAAGAAACCAACCTTGAAATCAAAATGCACCCAACTTTTGACAAAACCACACAAATAAAATGCACATTAACTTCTGCAAATGAATCTAAATAACTACGTAAAATTATGTTGTAATTACCAAGGATTTTTCGTAATTAAAATTCAACTTAATGAAAGCAAGCTTCACTATTGGGATGTTATTGAAAAATGCACTTTCTAATTTTTAATATTTGATGTGCATGGAAAAATACACAAGCCATTTTGTTTTTAATGGAGGGTTTCCCTATAGCAAGGTAGGGTGCGGGTTTGTATTTGCATTCGAGCAAGAGAAATATGCAAATCTTTTCCTCAATTCATTAGTATAGCAATCGGATGGTCTGCCCAGTCAGAAAGCTTAAGGTCACTAGGAAATGAGCTGAAGCTTTCCAGATTTAAGAGTCTCGTCTTCCATTAACCAATGAAGTATTTTCAATTGGCTAAATCACCAATTTAATTCCCAAAATGTGAAACTACTTTCTATGAAACAAATGGGTAATTCAAAATGCAAATCGTGTTCTCTCTAGCTATTTTTTACCAAACAAATGAGATAATCTTCTATTTCAATTTCTCGTTGCCCAAATTAACCTGAACCTTAAAGGAAAACGAAAATGAAAGTAATCACAGTAAATCATAGAATATAAAACTCTACTTCACGGAGAAAGAAGAACGCAAAGCAACAGAAGTAATGCCAAAACCTGGTTCACAAAGCCCTCTAGTGCTTCTAAATTCTCCATTGCTGCAGCCATCTGAGAACCATAATTTCCTGTACCACCTGGCTCAGCTGCCATGCATTGCGCCAAAGTTTGCTGAAGTTTATCTACTCCTTGTGAGAGAGCGTCCTCTGCTTGCTGAGAAGATTGGCGAAGGTTACAGATATCCACAATTTGCTGATCAGTCAAGGGCTCAAGCTGTGGTGTGACCACCTGTATGAACAAAAATTCTAGGTTGCGTCACAGACATGACAATATAAGTAATAAGTCTACCTTAGCCCATTAAATACCTTCCTTACAGCACCAGACACATAAAGAAATTTAACAAAGCATTAAAAAGTCAAAGCTGCTTAAGGTCTATGGAAAAATAAGTAAAACAAAAAGTGATTAGTGAACAGTTATCAAATTAATTTGGAAGAAATGAACTTGTGGTTGTAACTCATTATAATTTGGCAAGGAGAATCTTCAAAATTCTTCTATATTCTTGTGGTTTCACCAAAAGTATGCAGCACATCTAACATGTACGATTGCAGTTAAGGCCTCGAGTTCATTTCTCTGTGCCAGCTATTAGTACCTAAGAACAGTTATATTACTCTAAATAGCAATATGAGGTAGAACTAGAGTAAATTTAGATCCCTAACTTCAATCCTATTTTTGTATCAGCTGTTGGTGTGATTGATTCACATAAATTTAGCCCAGTGGGCTTTCATATTTTAAGAAAATAGGTATTATCTAGAAAAAATAAGTTAAATGTTTTTCTATCAATTGCAGCTTTTGGAATAATTGGACCGTACCAATTACTTGAAAAAGTAATGTTGAAAAGAGCAATACATTTAGAAGTTCTGATGGACGAAATCCTCCAATCCATTGGAAAAAGCGTTCTGTTGATGTTCTCCACATTCCTGATATCAAGTAAAAGACATCGACCTTAGCAGCATCTGCTTTCATGCGGAAAAGATTGCTATAGTGATTAAGACCACTTTTTACGAGTATACGGAGTTCTATATCTGTAATATGAGCTTGTAATGCATTTCTAAGTTCAGAAATTTGTCTATGTTGCTCGTCAACCCAGTGTACATATTCCATCTCAAAAGCAGCAATCCCTGCAAAATTCACAAGTAGAGTTCTTCTGAAAAATGCCGAAGAAAGATAATACACAATCCGTAAGTGAAAGAGGAAACATATTTACCATCAAAAGCACCTGATACATTACACAATAAGGAGGTATGACCCAAGAGGATTCGATTAAAATAGCAAACGGATACCAATTTATTGTCTAATATATCTAAAGGCCAAATTCTTAGAAGTGCTAAAAAAAAAAAAAAAAAAAAAAGAAAAGGTTCGAACTTCTGAACAATGGGAACTGCAGTACTTCCGAATTTAAAAGCTATTTATTTCCACAATTTAGAATGAGGAAGCGAAAAAGGTCTTCCAACCAAAATATTCAGAGAAATTTCTATAAGAACACAATTTTGTCGTCCAATCAAGGATAGCAGATCAGTATGAAATCACCAACCTGAGTTCACAGTTGCTGACATTCCTAAATAATTAGTATCTGATATGCCACCTATGTATAGGCCCTGTAATAGGGAATTAATTTATCTGTTAGTCACTGCATGCAATAGCCTATCTATCAAAGCTGGTTTTAGTAAGAAATAGACCAAAAAGAAAATAGGAATGTGATTTTCACCTCACCTGTTGCCTAGCTCTCTCAAGTTCCTGCTCCAACTGTGCCAGCTTCAAACGGCTTGTTTCTAATTGTTGAACATAGGCCTAATAGAACGAATCGACATATTATCAGGATGACATATTTTGAGGCTTTAACATCATTGTAACAGAGGCTTAACGGTAAACTACCTTTTTTCGTAGACGACTCTTGCGAGCAGCTTCACGGTTTTGTGCTAAACGTCTCTGTATCTGTACACATGCATAATCAAAGAATAAAAATAGTGAGAATCCAAGAAAAAAATTAGGGGTAGCAAAGCCAACAGTAATATAGAATGTTTTAAACTGTCTTCTTCGTTGATATATGATTATTCACACAACAGAAAAGACGTCAAATCTTCTATTCTACTGATTCAAAAATCAGTAAAATAAAAAACAGAAATGATAAAATTCAGCACAAGATCAAACCTTCCAACCTTAGGGTGCAACATACACACGTAAGACCATACTACGTTAACATTTTGTATGAACACCTATTTTTGGAGTATCACAACAACATGTGATAGTTCCACACCAATTCATCTTAATACGCAAAATCTATGTTGAATAGACAATCTTATTAGTAACATGATCTTAAGCATACTTAAAACTGGTAGCCTGGTACACCCAGAGTAAGACTTTGTAAAAAGCATACAGTTCAAAAATTTCAATCCCATTCAAGATTTATGACAGTATCTAGGAGCCTGTCAATCTCTTATAGCTAATTTCCCATGTAACCGAAAATAAATTCTTAGAAGATTATGATGGATTTATATTAAATGAGAGATCAGGAAAGGATCGGCAGAGATGAAAACATCGTGCAATTTCATCACCTTATCATTGGCTCTGTTTGCTTCATGATCATTTCTGGAAGGTTCTCCAGGTTCAGGAGAAACATATTCAGACGACTGTAGAGATTAAAATCAGAATCATGAGCTACACTTCAACAATTAGAAGATGAAATGAAACATCGAGTAACCAGGGAAAGAAAACCTCATTGCATCTTCACCTTGTTATCTAACCTTGCATCCATCTGTACAACCGTGGATGAGCCTGTATTTGGGCTGTCATTATCTTTGAAATTGTTAGCCCAAGTGCTCATCGAATGGAATGGCTCGTAAATTCCCATTCTTCTGAATGAAGCCAGTTCAGTTGAAGGAGAGCTCATACTACATCAGTCGATTGACCAAAATATGGGTTTTAACTTTACCAACTCAACTTCAAATACTGCAAGAATGCATTCACAAAAATAACTTAAAAACTAGAGCACCAACTGTTTGAACACAGGCTGGTGGATGAACGTTTGTTCTGATTTTCCAAATTTTTATCATCAATAAAAACAACACACAAAAACTTGGCCATGATAAAACTTAACATTACTCCGCTAAATGATAAATAGATGAATCAAGAAACGACATACGAAAGAAACATTTAAGATAAAGGATCAGTTCGTGATGTGAAGACAAGACATGCCCACCAAAATCAACTCACCTTTCTACGACATGCTTCAATGGATCCAAAGTTGGCACCAATCTCACTAGTTCACAATGAAAGGAAAGAAACAAGAGTTCTAACTAGTCAATGTCCTGCGATAATCACAGAGTTGTTGGGAATTAAAATTAAAACTCGAGAGATAAAGCCCAACTCAAATGTTTCAAACAAGTGAGAATAAACTGAAAAACCTTAATGTCCCAAAATTTTCCACCGACAAGAGCTGCTTGAGTCTTGACCCAGGAGCGCAGAAGCTTCTACAACATGGCAGAGAAAAAAGGAAAATCGTATAATTCCATACAAAAAATTTCGTTTATTTTCTCAGAAACCAGACGGAGCAGACGAAGAATTCAAAATTTTTCAAAGAATTTGAGAATTAAGAAACTGACCTTTGCTGCTTAATATCAAACCCCAAGATCAATGAGTTAGTTTCAAATCCAAGAAAGCCTAAATTTGACACTACAGTATGCTACTCAGCATTCAGCAAGGAACCACAAGCACTAAGAATCAAAGAAATCCAATAAAGGAACAAGAAATTTATAGAGATTGTTAGCGTAGATGAAAACAAGCGGACAAAAAATTAAAAAAAAAAGGAGAGAAAAAGGAAAAGAGAAAAAAAAAAAAGAATTTTTAATTTTTGAACGCCACAGTCAAACGTTAACGTCCAAGTGTTCCCACTTAAATGGGTCTTTTAAGAGTTAAAAAAAAAAAAAAAAAAAAAAAAAAAAAAAGTGCACCGTTATGTCAATTTTAACCTGTGCACCGCCTAAAAATCCTACTTTTTGACTGACGTCACTTTCCCGGGAAAATAACTGCCAAGTGTTTGTGTGTGCTCCGGCGGTGGATGTCAGTGAGTAGCACGTGGAAACATCTTATTGGATGATACGGTTGCGTGGCAGGTGATGATAGAAGTGCCCGCTATGTGATCTGGCAATAGTAAATCTTTTAATTCACAGCGTAAGCAAGTGCGTGTCACCGTCAATTTTAGCCTGGAGATAATAATTTTTAAGGTTGCGATTCAGTGTGGTCAGGTTTACTTTTTAAGCATGCAACTGAAACACCAAATGTGGATTCAATAATTGAAAAAATAATGTTAATTAAAATTTGATTGTACAGTTAATTTCCGATATTTTACACGTAAGCAAATTATGTCTTTTATGACCACTGACTGTCCTACCATTATTAGCCTGTACAACTTGTAAAAGCACTCCGTGACAATTCACATGAAGCTTTAGAAAAACAACTTAATTAATCATTATTTGAAATTTATTTAAAATTGGGTTAAAATATGTTTAAAAAATAAAAAAATTAAATTGAATGAAAATTATTATTATTTTTTTTTTGGGGGGAGGGGGGGGAGAGTAAAAGTTATGAACAATAAAGTTAAAAAGCGACGTCGTCTTAATTTAATGCAATGTTCTCTGCGGGATGGTTTGGGGGAAAAGATTAATATAAAGATAACTTAGTTTAAAACTTTATTTTATTCACTCTTTCTGAAATTTAATATTTATTTAATAACTCTCTCCCACTCTCTTCAATAAAGCTAAATAAAAATTTAAAGGCTTTAAAGTTTTATTTAAATTAAAAAGTCATTCTTTATTCCCAGGGTGGGGAAAAGGGGGGGTTAAAAGAAGAGGAGGGGGAGGGGAAAAAAGCTCAAGGAAATGCGACATTCAACATTCAATTCAAATATTCTATGACCAAGTATATTTAATTTTCGTTTTTATTATTATTATTATTATTCTCATCAACACCCCTTATGAACATATATATAAAAGTTTATAAGGTAGAATAAATATGGTGGGTTGCAAATTATTAAATATATATTAATATAGACCACTGAAATAAACCCTTAAAAAGACGTACATATTTGATATCGTGTTACATTTTATATAGTCTTAAAATATATAATATTGAATTTTGGTTGTAAAACACAAAGACCCACTCATACATACATATGTGTCTTTAGTTTCTTGTTTTTAAAAATCAAAACTCTAGTGTTCTAATAAAATTTGAGACACATGTGATTTTAGAATTTTCATCAGCTGCCTTTTTTTATTTAATTAAAATATATACTTAATTTTTTATATTATTAAATTTTTACTAAAAAAATATATCTAAAATTATATAATTCGATGTAATAATATAAATCGTGGGTCCACACAGACACATGAATTTGGTTTTGATTGAAACCTCACAAATAAAATTCAAATGTTTGATGATTTTTTAATTAATGGGTTTGACTTGTGTGTTTGTAGAAATTGAATAGCAAGTAAGCAATAGATTTAAAATTCTATGATACTATTATTATTGTTGAGGGGAAGAGAACAACATATTCTACACAATAATATTCTAATTATCTTAAGATTGATTGAAACCCAATTGAATAAATATGTACATATTAAAACATTCTATAATTTATCAATTGCAATCATGAACTATATGTACATACATACATACATATATTATTATTGAATGGTAACTTTAAAATAAAAAAAATGTTACATCCTCTATTTTTAAGAAGATTTGATTTCTAAATCTTGTATTTCATTGGAGGATTCCACTTCATGTTTTTAGTAGATAACAACTTTTCATACATCATTTTTTTTTTTTTCTTCAAATTTCATTTCAATGTTTCCCACCACTATTGCACCTCCACGTCTACAACCCTAATCACCACCCTTGGTTTCCAACTCGACATATATACATACAATATAATTTTAATTTATATATATATAAAATTATCAGAAGCGTAATACACATATGTATGAGATATATATATATATATATATAGAGAGAGAGAGAGAGAGAGAGAGGGAGATGTAATTATTATTAGGTAAGGAAGAACATTATATAGCAACTTTTCTTAAATTCAATAATGTTGCTTACTTTGAAACTTTATTTCCAATTATGTTGCCCGTTCCTTATCTATAGGGACAAGAAAAAGATCCCATCACCATATCCACTCCATTTTATTTATTATATTAATTTCACTTCACTTCATTTCAAAAGTAGACACTCCCTCATCTCCTTATCACATATAAAAGCTATATATACCCTTGTCTCATATTATATATTTACCATTAAAGGCTGAGATCAGATGATGAGATGATCAGGCCATGCTCTCACCTCAACATTTTCTTATAATTTTATTATAATCTTGTATGAGATTGGGTTTTCAAATCTTAATTGGGTTATGTTTTAATTTAATGTCTTGTCGTTGTTTTATATATGTATACATATATATTGGGAAATGGGAGGATTTCAAATATAAAAATAACAGCTTTAGTGTTTGCGTAAACACAGCATTGAAAAGGTATAATAAACAAAAGAAAAGCGTAAAAGAGTGAAAGAGATAAAAAAAAAAAAAAGGAATGAAAAATAAATTGCCAAGTGGGAACGAATGAATGATAATCCAATGTGCTAATGCAATTGCTTTATTGCTACACGATCACCAATTAATCACATCCTGACCCACTCAAACTTAACTACTGATTAAGATTAAGATTACATCCTAATCTATTATTTTATTTCCACCAATTATCTAATTTTATATATAATTAAAACTATATATTTGACAAATTGAATTATTTATTTACTTTCTACCATATACACACACAAAACGCATACAAATTAATTAATCAATCATTTTCGCTGAGTTAAATAGATAATATATATATATATATGTATATATGCATCGATTACTCATTAATTAATTCGAGGGTAACTAAATAGTCAAGTTCACTTTTACTTTATATATGGTGGAAAGTTTTTGGGATTCTTGTATTTCTTTAATAAAATTATGTATATG